ATCGATGCCATCGAAATATAAATCATAAAGTATAAGCATTGATAAACTCACAAACAAAAAATAAAAAAATAAAACAAAACGTAGAAAGACTCGATAAAATAATGTGTTGCGACAGGTTCGCAATTCTTAGAAAAAGAGGGGAGAGTTACCCCCTCTTCGATTCTAGAAGTTTTATATATTTCGCAATTTATGCGGGTGCAATTAGTCTTGCGATACTCGCTTGTACGAACGGTTGAAAAAAAAATGTACTTCGCTGAAGACAGCAACGCTGTCGTACGAAACGAAGAAGGACTGCAGTAACATGTAAGTTTTAACATTCTATACACAAAAGAAACATTTTTAACATTATGTATATACACAGCATGGAGCATCGCAAGATGCGTTTATTGGGCAGACGTTACAATCTGACGACTATGGGTTACAAATTTTTGGAAATTGGAATCAATTTAGTTTTAGTTACGTGGAGATCGCCCTGAGAGATCATCACGGACATGAACTGCTGCTGTCTCTCAAAACGTGGAAGGGCCTCTACGAGGTGTGATAGAATATTTACAAGATGCTGCGAAACGAATACAAGGAAATTTTATAAGTGTTGGATCGCTAACTATCAGCGTTTGCATGCTGAACGATGTTACGCTCATACGTCTCAATTCTTCGTCCGTATGCATGATGATGACCGAAACGACGCTACGACATATGTTTGAGTTTGACGAATGTATCGATGTAACATTCGAACGATTAATCCGACTCGTCGATACGGTTGATGTCAAATATACGCGATTCTCCAACATCGCGTCTAAAAACGCTATACGCGATAGTGATATCTTTAACAAACTCAGCTCGTTGCGAGTTATTGGCTTTAGTTTTTTAATATGTAAAAAAAGAAATGATGTAATAATATGTGAATAAAAAATTTTTTTTGTTCATATCATTATATATGTACTTTCTTTACTTCCCATCCGTCTATCCATCTATTCATCCATTCATCCTATATCTCGACGCGCTATAACGATAACTTTTCGTGACGGCACTTATGATCTAAAGTGTTTTATATACAACTGCCCCCCTATAGATCCTCTTAGGCAGGCTCGCTTCTCAACGGCGAAGATCGATTCTCAACGTCAGTCTTTGTTCTGCTTTGTCCGCGCGCAAGATGTGTTAAGATACGTGAGTGATATTTTTTTTTTCCAACATGCAACAATATTCTACCATTTAACATTAATGATAGAATATTGTTGCACATTTTCTGTGATTAAGTGAAGTGATAATTTTTTTATTGTGCAGCTATAACATGCAAAAAGAACAAAAAGTTGAGGAGACTGTCTACTCCTCCTCCACCTTCTCCTCTTTCTTAGAGGAGATTCAGAGTAATATTATAGTTGATCTCACTCAATTAAATGTAGATCAATTAGAACTGTTCCATCGCCTCATCGAGATTGCCGATGAGGTGGATGATCATTAATAGAATTGCGTTCAAACACTTCATCGACAATCTCGATGAGGCTGTGGAGAAAGAGGAAATGGAAAAGGAAAAGGAAATGGAAGAGGAAGTGGAAGAGGAAGTGGAAGAGGAAGTGGAAGAAGAAACTAAAGAGGAGAGCGTTTCCTCCTCCTCCTCTTTCTCAGAAGAGATTCAGAGTGATATCATAGTTGATCTCACTCAATTACACGTAGATCAATTAGGACTGTTCCATCGCCTCATCGAGATTGCCGATGAGGTGGACGATCTCAGGCATGTGCGCATTAATAGAATTGTATTCAATCACTTCATCGACAATCTCGATGAGGCTGTGGAGGAAGAGGAAGTGGAAAAGGAAGTGGAAGAGGAAGTGGAAGAGAAAGTGGAAGAGGACGAAGAAGAAACTGAAGAGGAGAGCGTCTCCTCCTCTTTCTCAGAGGAGATTCAGAGTAATATCATAATTGATCTCACTCGATTACATGTAGATGAATTAGGACTGTTCCATCGCCTCATCGAGATTGCCGATGAGGAGGATCTCAAGCATGTGAGCATTAATAGAATTGCGTTCAATTGTCTCATCTACAATTTCGATGAGGTTTTTGGAAGAAGAGAAATAAGAATTCAGCGGAAGATGAGGAGGAGGAGGAGGAGGAGGAGGAAGAAGACGAAGAGGACTAAGAATTCAACGGAGGATGAGGAGGAGGAGGACGAAGAGGGAGGGGTGTGGAGAAAGTAAGAATATTTTTTTTTATTATATAGTTTTCTTTCTTTCTTTTTTTCTTTAATATTTCTTGTTCGCGTTATAATATTGCCACGTATTTAGGGAGTGGACTCCGCAGTGGCTGTCTGAAACGCATTTTTTGGGATAGACGCGAGGGCTGCGGTGATGGCCCGAAACGCACTTTAGGATGGACGCGGGGTCTGCGGCGGCGGCGGTGGCGCTGACGCCTGCAGCGGGGTGTGGGCATCATATCGATAAACATCGATAGCGCTGGGACTCATATCAGTAAACACCGATAGCGCCGGGACTTCCCGCGCTTCCCCTCCCTTCCCTGCGCTTACCAGTACTCCCCGCGCCTTCTCCCCCGCGCTTATGAGTATCCCCCGCGCCCCGCGCCCCCCTCAGAGGACCTGGGTTAGAACCGCCACTATTATACTACTCTCAACCTTTTTACTTTATTTTTTAATAACTTCTTGCCGATCAAAGGTCGACTGATGAAACTGATGGTCACTCAAGGTTATGATCTTTATAATGTGTGGGAGGGTCAAGGAGGTCAATTGTTTATTTTAATTTTAATATCTTAACAATCAACGATCCCTGCTTAAAATGCTAGATAAAATCTCATAGATTTTCTATTGGGTTTCTTTGCAGTTATTAGAGTTTCTACAAAACGCATAGGCCGCTTTTTGCCAGGTTCATTTTCTATCCATTTCTATACGGTTTTCACGAAGTTGTTGCTTTCATGGAATTTATCGGTTATTTATCATACAACCTTTATAAATATATATCCATATTTCCAATGAAGTCAAAATTTATATGAATTTATCAGTAATTCCAAGACGGAAAGCTATGGATTTCTATGTGAATTTATCAAGAATCTATTCGGTTTGATGTGAAATTCCATAATCATTTTTACCCTAGATCAAAGAAATTTTTACAGTCAATACAATTCGATTGCGTTTTATTTGGAAATCCTTATTTTTTTTATTCTAAAGGGTGTCTCAAAATGACCTGACATTTTAATGTATTAATAAAACATATTATTTATTTGAAAAGTACACATGTTTTTAGTTTAATAGAAAAGTACAAACATGGAGGTTATATGTAGAACACAATATCCGATAAATGGCCGCCTCGACTCTGTTTGCAAACGTTCATTCTTTTGACAAAATTTTCAATGACATTTTGGCATAATTGCGGACTAATTTCATTAATAGTACGTCTAATTTCTTCCTTCAACTCCGGAATGGTCTGTGGATGATTGGCATCCAATTTCACTTTCAGAAAACCCCAAAGAAAGAAGTCAATGGCGTCAAATCGCACGATCTTGGTGGCCAATTCACATCGCCGCGGCGCAAAATAACAAACTTTTCGAACCGTCTCTGCAAAATGTTCACTATATTTGTAGTGGATTTTCACAATTTCTATGCGTTGCTCGATCGTGTAATTCTCCATGACTAAACCTCAATACTTCCTGATGCCAGTTGTTAAAGGTTAGTACGTTACGTTCGCTGCAAAAAAAATGGCGCGCAATTTAAAATGTCAGATCATTTTGAGACACCCTTTATGTGGATATCACAGTAGAGAAATCATGTGCAGTTTGATTTGTTTGTTCGCAAAATTGAAATACGAAATTCTGCGGCCGAATCTATCAATAATTCCAGGACGGAAAGCTGGGCTTTTGTGCGCATTTATCATGCAAGAATCTATTCGGTTTGATGTGGAATTCCATAATCATTTTTAATGCGCTCATTGAAGTAAGTAGGAGCTATACCAGGAGCACATTGGAGCATGCGATGTGAATAA